TAACCACGTAGCAGACTCCTACATTTGGTTTATACAGAAAGAAAACGTATTTGTCTCTACCTCGTCTTCTAATCTACCTTTATAACAACACTGACAGATTTAGCATGTTTCACAAATTGATTTAAAGACAAAAATTAAAACTGCCAAACATACAGACCAGGAAACTACACCAAGCTGCAGCTGTGTTAGGGTAAAAAGAAATTAAGAGGAGGAAATACGAGGAGATACAGACCTTTGACACTTGCTGAAAGTGAAGGAATGGAGGAAAGTTAAACCGATGATTAAGAAGTTAAGCAAAGATCTTAAACAAATCTGAAGCAAAAGCAGTGAGGAAAATTTTAAACACAGCTTTTTGAAAATGCTAGGATGGAGAGCGTTGTAGGAGAATTCAGTAACCAATGTGGAAAACCAAGAAACAGAGTTTTCACAGCTGTTACAAAAGATGTCAAATGGACAGACACCTACGGCAGTCTGCTTGAGGGAAGGAAATTAAAACAAATATGAGAATGAAATTAGCGTTACTGCAGAAAGGAAAGGTCAGACAACAGAGTCTGTGCTATGCCATGACCTGTTTTGGCCAATCGTGAAGTATGGAGGATTTTAAAAGAAGCAATGACAGTCACAAGCGATGAATTTAAGACCCTGTGTAAGAGGGACTGCTGAATGCCAGTGAGGGGATGTACGAGTTGAGATGAAAGCATGGGGCTTTCAAAAGCTCCTCTTTCAATGACACAAGAAAGGGCATTAACACATCTGGACATACACAAAATAGGAAGTCATGAAACTAAGGTAAGAAAGTCTCCGAGTCTTTTTGGTGCTCTCAGCCTTGGTTTGTAACACAATTGAATCTCTCTTAGGTTTCATCCTCTCCCTACAAATGAGGCTAAGAAATAACTTATACCACTAGCCCATCAGGCTTACATAGAACCACAGAATCGTTTGGCTTGGAAGGAAACTTACAGATCATCGAGTTCCAACCCCCCTCCCATGGGCAGGGACACCTTCCACTAGACCAGGTTGCTCAAAGCCTCATCCAGCCTGGCCTTGAACACTTCCAGGGATGGGGCATCCACAGCTTCTCTGGGCAACCTGTTCCAGTGCCTCATCACCCTCTCCAAATGTCTAATAAAAAATTCAGACAACAACCAGGCGCCTGATCAGGATTCTGCAGTGCAGTTGTGATACATGAACTTGTGTAGCTCTTCTTGCTTCCCGTTACTGAGATGCCAGCCAAATACATACTCAACTACGCACCTGCTGCTGAGTGATTTTGTTATGTTTTGGGAAGGCAAAGGTGGGAGATTGTTTAAATACCAGTTTTTAAATACCAAGTAAAGGTGGGAAAATTTTTAAATACCGTTGAGAAGTCACTTTAAAAGTGGCCACATGATTCCTTTTCACTGTGAGGCAGTTAAAAATTTTCTTTAGCATTCGTTCAGTTATGAAAGACTGACGGCTTGCCTCACTGACAATGCAACTAATTCCCAAAAAACAATAGTGAGATAGCATTAGCTCAAATGGCTAAAAAAATCTATCATTTCTAAATTATGCTATAGAACTCCCTACAGAATGAATTTAACTAATTGCGTATTTTCTGTTAAGAAAAAAAAAATATCATCTGCCCCACGTAGTAACAATTTACCTTCTTCATGGGTCACTGGAAGAGTGGGTCTTCTGATCACTAGACCAGCTTAACGTGACCCAAGAGAAAGGAGATGGTGCTTGTCCCTGCCTGGATGAGACAAAAAGCAGGACCTGACACATTTTCCCAACTATTACCGCTATCTCCTAAGCAGCAACAGCTGACTGTCAGGAATCCCATGCATAAAGGATGACTTAGTAATAAGGTAGAATAACAGAAACACATTTAATCTACATGGCAGCCTTACCTTTTAAATACCTTAATAATCAATATGTAACATGAATTGGTATCCCAAACTTGAATGCCTTCTGAAGCAAGGGTGTAAGACCATCTTGAGCCACAATGGTAATGAGATGATGGGGAGGCAAATGAGGTTCTACCACAGTAAATACTGAACTCCCACGTACCACCTTCCTGCCCTCTTTTTAAATTTCATCTCCTTTACATTTGCATATTAGGATAATACATTGTTTCTAAAACCATTTCAAAACTTAAATTACAATCAGGAAACCGAATAGAATCATAGAGTCCTAGAATGGTTTGGGCTGGAAGAGACTTTAAAGATCATCTAGCTCAAACCCCCCTGCCATGGGCAGGGACACCTTCCACTAGACCAGGCTGCTCAAAGCCTCATCCAGCCTGGCCTTGAACACTTCCAGGGATGGGGCATCCACAGCTTCTCTGGGCAACCTGTTCCAGTGCCTCACCACCCACTCCGGGAAGAACTTCTTCCTGATATCTAATCTAAACCTCCCCGCTTTCAATTTAAACCCATTGCCCCTTGTCATGTCACTGTAAGTCCTTGTAAAAAGTCCCCCCCAGCTTCCTCATAGCCCCTTCAGGTACTGGAAGGGGCTATAAGGTCTCCCTGGAGCCTTCCCTTCTCCAGGCTGAACAAGCCCAACTCTCTCAGCCTGTCCCCATAGCAGAGGTGCTCCAGCCCTCTGAGCATCTTCGTGGCCTCCTCTGCACTCACTCCAACTGGTCAATATCCTTCTGCTGTTGGGGGCTCCACAGCTGGATGCAGTACTCCAGGGGGGGTCTCACCAGAGCAGAGTACAGGGGCAGAATCCACTCCCTAGAACTGCTGGCCACACTTCTCTGGATACAGCCCAGGATACGGTTGGCTTTCTGGGCTGCCAGCGCACACTGCCATCTCATGTTCAGCTTTTCATCCACCAGTACCCCCAAGTCCTTCTCCTCAGGGCTGCATCATGTATGATGAATATTTCATTATGTACAAAGAATTTACCATATGAACTATTTTTCAGCTCAAATTGTTAAGCCACAAATAAAAAATCTGAACGTGCATGCAATGACTGAATGCAGTACGGCAGCTCTAAAAACTGGATATAGATTTCACAGAACCTCAATCAGAAGTGGGTTTTTCTTAATACATTTCTTTCTTTTTGACATACTACCATTCATTTATTTTATTTCCTTTCAAAAAGGATAATTACATGTAATGTGAAAAGCCTTCATGCAGTAAGGTAGGTTACAAGAAACTTGACACTTTCCATAATTACAAAAAAAACCCCATGATATTGATGAAGTGGCCAGTCCTGTTCATTCTGCCTGCCTTATTTCTGAAAAGTGCCTCCACAGCTGATTTTTCTTTTTTTTAATGCAGGTAAATATCTGATCAATGTAATTTATTCTCCTTGGCATTATAATGGTGAAACTGCGTTACCAGATCAACTGAAGAAGTGTTTCATAGAACCATAGTTTGGGTTGGAAGGGACCTTAAAGACCATCTAGTTCCAACCCCCATGCCATGGGCAGGGACACCTTCCACTAGACCAGGTTGCTCAAAGTCTCATCCAGCCTGGCCTTGAACACTTCCAGGGATGGGGCATCCACAGCTTCTCTGGGCAACCTGTTCCAGTGCCTCACCACCCTCTCCGGGAAGAACTTCTTCCTGATATCTAATCTAAACCTCCCCGTTTTCAATTTAACCCCATCATCCCTTGTCCTGTCACTACAGGCCCTTGTAAAAAGTCCCCTCCCAGCTTCCTTGTAGGCCCCTTTTAATCCTTTAAATCTGATCCCAAACATATCACAGTGTCACTCGAAGTATATGAATTTGCTAGTGAACAGCAAATTGATTGGAAAGTCATAAGTCAGTCTCTCCTCCCTCGTTCCCTAAGCTGCATCCTTGAAATCAGAGAGCATTGTTTTCTGCAAAATTGACTATGATTTCACCTATTGCACAGAAAACATTGCTACTTTGCAGCTGCTTTCAAATGCAACACTTCCTTAAAGAAGTAGTGTTATTTTTTGTAGATGTCAAATAACTATATAACAGGACTATAGGAGAAGACTTTCAAATTAAATGTGTGCAGTATGCTTTGACTTTAGCTGGAATACTTCAGTGCCGAAAGGCAAGTTGAAGCTTTCACAAATCCGTTCCAACTTATTTTGTTCAAATGCAAATCTTAACAGACATTAGAACATCTAGCACTAATCACTAGCAATCAGTGGATAAAGTCAAACTGGATAATGTCAGCTTTTGCTGAGCAGGGCAATAAAACAACACTTTTTAATGCTTTGGAAATGAGAAGCTTTGAGTATAAAGCAGGCCTTTAATAACACATAGTCCTGGGATCTCACATTTATTCATTATCTGTAGAAATAAAAACCCTTCTCACAATGACAAACAGAATGATCCCTGAACTCAGAGATACTCAGCTGTGTTCCACATCACTGGTACATGACAAGGTCAGAAAAACTCTCCTTTGGTCCACTACAGAAGCAGTTTGCAAACTTACGGTCTGCAACTTAAAGGTTCTTAAATGCCAGAGAGAACCCAGACTGCCGATACTGAAATTTTCAAATTACAGTCAAAATTACATGACACTATCTGAATAATTCATGAAATAAATTCTGGTAGCCCTCATAACACTGATGCAAGAAGTTAGGACACCTGAAATGTAACACTGAATG